TTTCCTGCCTCATCTATTATAGCCCCTTCTGCTAAGGGTAAATCTAGACCTGCACTCCCTTCCGTGGCTGTCTTTAAATCATTGACCCGCAAACGTTGCTGTTTGGAGTCTATTCTGTGGTCTCTACACTCCACACTTGGGGCTCTCTGGATTTTTCGGGGCGCGAGAGCTCTCGCCCCTCCTCCCGTTTCCCGACTTAAAGTTGTTCTGATTGTTGTTAGGTTGGTTGTTGCACTGGTTAGCCCAGTGAAAGCCTTTGCCGCACCGGGGACACTTTCGGTTTGGGAACTTAGCATGACTATTTTTACCCTTAGAACTGTGGCAGTTTTTTAAGAAATGTCCTGGTTTGCCACATCCGTAGCAGGTGACAGTGGCAGTGGATGGATGGAGAGCTGCTGCTAATATCTGTGCCTTATGAGTTTCTGTGCCAACATTTTGACATGCCTTAATCATATCAGCTAGAGTGGGATTTTGTCCCCTTAGAGGAGCTAAAACAGCCCGACAGTCAGCATTAGCATTTTCATAGGCAAGTTGGAGACAAAGAATTTCAGCTGCTTGTTGATTATCTACTTGTCGGGAAATGGCCATTTGGAGGTGGTTGATAAAATCAATGTAAGGCTCATTCGCCACTTGACGAATAGTGGCAAATGAGCTGGTGGGCGTCTTGGAATCAGGGATTTTACTCCAGGCTTTGGTGGCAGCATCAGAGGCTTGAGTGAATGCTCGTCTGTCCGTCTGGGCTTCGGCCTGAGGAGAGGAATAGGGCCCACTACCTATTAGCATGTCAGCACCGATAGGAATGTTATGGTTTAAATTATCCATCGCACAAAGGTGACAATGTTCTTGATACTCTTGGCTCCATACACTAAACTGAGCAGGGGTTAAAATTGTTTGCATCAAAACATTCCAGTCCCAGGGGGTCATTTCTATAGTCTGTCCCAAGGCCTCTACTGTTCCCCTTGTAAAGGAGCTTTGTAAACCGTTCTCTACCATGCTTTTACGGAGCTCCTTTAGAATGTGAAAGGGAAGGCCATCATGACGAGGTGGCCCGGCTCCCCAGATGATAGGAAAAGCAGAAAGCCCTTCCTTCTCACAGCCCTCTCGCAAGCACCTCTCTATAAGGGACTCATGTTGTGAGGAAGCAGTCTCAGAAGCTGCAGAGGGAGGAGGAGGAGGAGGACCAGAGTCAGTTTCTTTATTAGAGGAGGGAGCTGAGGGAGCTGCTTTTAGGGGTTACAGGGCAAGGCAGCAGTGATGCCATGCAATAAGAACTGAAGCAGGGATGTTCATGTCACGAATGATGTTACCGATACATTCCCAAGCTTCTACATCAAGGTTTCCCCGCAAAGGATACCAAGAACAGGAAGACACAATTAAAAGAAGAAGTTGGGTAAGAGCTTCTTCTGACACTTTAAGCTTAGAGGCCTTTAACAACCCTAACAACTGGGTTTTGTGTTGACGCTGTTCAGGAGAAAGAGAATTCCCCATGGTGAAAATGGAAACAGAAACAAAAGGGAAAGAAAAGTTCAAAGAGGAAAACAAAAGCTCCTGACCTGAAGCAATCCCTCAGGAGCGGTCGGGAAAGCCCCGCTGCTCTAGGGCTAAAGCAGCCTGTTGTGAGAGCGCCCGGGGAGATTCCGCCTGCGGAAAGACCCCAGTGCCCTCGGCTGTGAAGGCAGCCTGAAATGGACGCGTCCTGTACTCACCACCTGAAGGGATTGAGTGCGAGGGTATCTACAGCTCTCCCCTCACACGGGGCACCATCTGTCGCAGCGGTGCGGCCATCTTTGTTAACTGATAAAAAGTTAAAAATGAAGAGAGCTTTGGCAAGTCTTTCATTTTGGTCACATACTCTAGACCCATCACTTTAGGTGAAAGTTTACAGAGCAAATTAGTTTCATTAAACAATACACAAATTGTTTTGTAACTTTGGTTGCCAATCCTGCGATGTGTCAACACTCTCCCCTTCTCGACCTTGGGTTCCCCATTTCCATTTGTCCAGTTGTCCTGTCCTTTCCTGCCTTCTCGTCTTTACTTTTGGGCTGGTGTACCCATTTAGTCTCGTATACATGGTTGAATTACATGTGTTTAATTGTTTGTTTCATAGGCCTGAGTCTTTGGCTGAAGGGTGAACTTCAGGAGTGACTTCAGTACTGAGTTTAAAAGGGTGTCTGGGGGCTTTTTTGTTTTTTTCTTTCGAATTTCCTGTTTCTGTCTAAAAGGTCAGCTTGGTTTAATTTTTTAAACTGTTCTGCCCAGATGGGGAGTGGGAGATGAGGACCTGGCAGAAGCACAGACAGTGTTGGTTGTTGAGGAGTTTGCCAGTGTTGCCCTGCTCCTTGCAGAGTAAGGAAAAGCAGGAGGCCAGTGGGTTTGGCTTAACAGGCTATTACTGTGTCCTGGGAGAAGGTATCTGGTTTCTGCTATGGCTTGGATGTTGGAGTCTTGCTTTAAAAGCGTGAGTGTGTATGTGTTGTGTGGGAGGATTCTATTTACCTGCTTGCTTTTTCATTTTCTTTGTCAAGATTCTTTGGAGGAAACCCTTCCAGCTTCTCAGAACTTCATCATTCCAAAAAAGGAGATTCATACAGTTCCAGACATGGGCAAATGGAAGCGTTCTCAGGTACAGTGGTGTCTGCATTGTAGGGTCAGAACTGGGGTAAGGCTACAATTCTCCTCTGAGAAACTTGGGTTTTTTCAAAGACAATGGTTTTCTAAGCATGACAGGGGCCCTGAGCTCCTGGCCCTTCTTGCTGTCAGAGCCTGAGCTGTTGTAAGCTAGGGAATGCGGTGACAGAGGAGCTGGCTGCCCCTCCTCCTCAGGGGCAGCACTCAGAGATGCTTCTGCCCAAAGGTCTCTGAGGGCTGAGGCCAGGGTAACTCTGGAGAGCTCTCTGCTCGTGGTTCTCATAAACTGTTGACCATTGAGTGTTGTGTTGGCTGAGCACGAATGTTCTGAATGATGGAGTGGGCCACTTTGATTCTTGGTTGTAAGTAATAGCAAGTCTGAGAGTCAGCATATCAGAAGGAGAGGAGGTTATCTCATGGAAACTTAGGCCGGGGTTGTGGCTGTGTCTCAAAAACACCAGGAACCAGGGCCTAGAAGACTGAGTGGGGGAAGGCAGGAAGTCCCCTTCTCTGCAGACCAGCTTTCTCTGCTACACAGTCCAAATGGAGGGCAGAAGATAGTTTGCATCTCCTAAGCATATGGTGCAGGTGTGTGAAAGACTGGGATGGAGAAAAAGAAAGCCAATTTCAAATTCTCAGCCATTGAAATAATGGGGCGGATCATTCTTTGTGGTGAGAGGCTGTCCTGTGCATTATAGGATGTTTAGCAGCATCCCTGGCCTCTACCCACTAGATGCATGTAGCAACTGTCTTCTCCAGTTGTGACAACCAAAAAAGGTTCCAGATACTGCCAAGCGTTCCCTAGGGGCTGAATTGCCCGCGGTGAGAACTACTGCTCTGCCCTGAACTTGTGTGTGTTTGTCTGTATCCATACGTGGCTTTAGTTTCTTGCTTTCCCCTCTAGGTATTTTCCAAGGACGACTAGGTGCTTATGATGTGAGATCAGTTCTGTGGATTGTCATTTTTTAGGTGACAAAACTGAGGCTGAGAGGTAAAGAAACTTAGCAAGCTAGCACGGTTAGTAAGTGGTTGAGGTGAAATTCAAAAGAGTCGTGCTTTAGAGTCCCAGGTGCTGACCTACTATGTTCTATGCCAGGAGTCAGCAATTATTGCCTGCCAACCTAATCTGGCCTGCTCTCTGCTTTTGTAAGTAAAGTTTTACTGGAAAACAGCCATACTCATTTGTTTACATTTTGTTTATGGCTGCTTTCATGCTACCATGGTAGAGTTGGGCAGAATCGAGAAGTTGAGGCTCAGACTGGGCCACACAGCCCAAAGTATTTACTGTCTGGCCCTTTGCAGGAAAAGTTTGCTGACCCTGCTATAAGCACCAACACTTTTTTGGAAGTGTTGGCCACTTTTTCTTCTGGAGTGTGTGTTCACCTGATAGAAGCCTTTTACTCGCTGTAAAGCTCATCAGTCAAGTGCGTGGACCTGTCGTGGCTGGACCAAGTGACTCTGTTGGAGTTGTGCTGTGGCCCATAGGGTTTTACTAGGCAGCAGAGTGCAGTGGCCAAGAACATGGGCTTTGGAGTCAGAGAGGTCTGGGCTTGAAACCCTGGGCTGCTGTTTTCTCTTCCTGTGACTTAGGCAAGGTACCTAACCTGGTTGAGCTCAGTTTCCTCTACTGTAAAATGGGTTGTTTGGAGGCCAGGATGACTTAAAGCCCAAAAAGCAGTTGGCCTAGTGCTAGGCATACAGTAGGCTTTATTGAGCAGTAGGCATCAATTATTATTGATGTTGTTATTACTATCATTATGTTGGCAGAGACTTTGCACACAGTCGTGTTTGTAAGAATGCCCTGAGTGCTAGTCACCAGAGACCTGGACCTATGTGGGAGCAGGGACATGTGGAGGGTGAAGCTGTCCATTGCTGCTTTCTATCCCTGCATTCCAGCATGCTTTGCTGATTGGAGTGATTGTGAACATTGGCTATCATAAATCAGTCAGGACTGTGTGCCCTGGGTAGGGAGAGTTGCTGTTGGTAATCTACCTGATGAGTTGTGTGACCCCTTATTTCTACCTGGGGCCATTCCACAGGCTGGCAGGAGGATCTTGGCATAGGAATGCTCCCTTCTAGATATTAAGTCATTGGGCATAGTTGTCTCAGGACTTGCTGTGGGTACCACTGGCATCTTTAAGCTTGGATAAGGAAGGAAGAGAGTAAGAGAGAAGAGGAATGGGGAAGAAACAAGACCAAACAGGAGTTACTTGCTCCCAGGAACTGCCTCACCAGGGGCCTCTGTGCTTTCTTATTCCTCTGCTGGGTGTAACCCTCAACCCTGTAGGGAAGAGAGTACCCACTTGGAAGCTGAGGATGGGTGTGCTGGGAGACGCTCCCACAGGATGCCTGTGTGCAGAAAATAGCACCTCCTGAGAACAGGGCATCTGCACAGTCTAGCTTGTGGTGGGGGAAACACCCAGAAGATTACTGGAGGAGGGACTGTGGGCTGAAATGAAGGGGCAAGGGACCCTCAGTGGTGTTTCTTAAACTCCTGGCGGTGTAGTATAATGGTCAAGCTCTTAGCCACTCAGCTTTGCAGTTAGGCTGGCTGAGTCTTAGCTCCACATCTGATGAGATCTTGGTCTCAGGAGTCCTTGGGTAAGTCACTTCTCCTGAAGCCTTGTTTTTTCATCTGTAAAAGGAGTATATCAATAGCATCTACCTCATGGTACTGTTGTATAAAGAAGCTGCTGGCAGCAACAGTGAGCACTCAGTATATGCTGGCTGGCAGTCCAGGGGTTATTGTTGTGGTTGACTTGCTGGCTTTTTTGGAGGTGGGGTATTTGGTGTTATCTTTCTACTTCTCCTGCTACCAGTTTGGGAGTTAGGGGTAGCTTGGTACTCTTTGGTAACTGTGTGGAGCTGGAGGGCTGGCCAGGGTGTACAGGGTGGTGGACCTGACACCCCTCTCCACATCCCCACTCTGTTTGGTAGGCATATGCAGACTACATCGGATTCATCCTCACCCTCAACGAAGGCGTGAAGGGGAAGAAGCTGACCTTCGAATACAAAGTCTCTGAGGTAGGTACAGGCAGGTATCCTGCTTCAACTGCCTTTCCAAAAATAGCTCAAGAAAGTCACATGTGCTCATTGCCCACAACTAGGACAGTGCAGAAAATATGGTCACCCAAACACAAGTGCAGTCAACATTTGGTGTCTACGTTTCTAATCTTTTTTTAATCTGTAAATAGACGTATATTTATAAAAATAGGATCAAAGTAAATATGCTATTTCAGTTTTGTTTGCTGGGGTTTTTACATAACTGTTTAAATTAGAAAAGATTACAAAGAAGTAAATGTGCTTGTTCATTGAAGAGATCACTAACAGAAGCATGGATAACATTAACAAAAAAGCTGACCTCTCCCTATTCTTTTCCCTCACATCCGCTGCCCAGGGGCAGCCCCTGTTAACAGCTGGGGAGTACTGCTAAGACCTTCGCCTGCTCACATTCCAGGACATTGTGAGGAGTTCTGTTCCTACAGAGTAAACAGCTGCGCCACTGAGTTGTGCTCTTATTCATTTCAACAACTGCCGAATTTTAGATTTTTAGGTTGTATTCCCTAAGCGTTGCTGTCCTGGGGGCATTGTTTACTAAGGATTCACTCCTCGAAGTGGAATTGCTGGATTGAAGGACACATTTTTTAGACTTTGGGTTCACACTGCCAGGTGGGTGCTTTTTAATGCTGCCTCAGAGCCAGACTTGTTCGTGCAGGGAGGGCAAGAGCTGTGTGCAGGCAGATACCCATTGGAAGGCATGGTCCTGCAGGTTGCTTGCTGTTGCTGGGTGCTGTCTCTCAGGGCTGGGTCCCAGGTCGCTGATAGCCTCTTGGGTTGCTGTCCCAGTTGGCCTGGAGCCACCGTGACCTGTTTGTGTCAGACACAAGGGCCTGTGCTACTCTGTCTCTGGGCTTTGTCTCACCCAGCTCTCCAGCCACAGCCTTGGGCCATGTTGGGTAAGTGGTAAGTTTCTCCACCTGTCCCAAAGCTAACACTGCCCCCTTAGCCTTCATACCCTGCTCTGGTGGAGCCACCTCTTCCTGGGCCCTAACTGGCTGCTGGGTAGTGTAGGTCCTTGCCCTGTTCACTTGAGGGGAGCCAGGCCTGTGCCCCAGGATAGTTTGCCTTCCTTTGGGAGCTGGCCCACCAGTGGCTTCTTGGATTCCTCTTGGGTCTGCTCAGCACCCTGGCAGTGGTTGTGGGTGCAGGATGGCTGGGGAGAGAGAGGGCCCCTCTTTGGGTCAGTGGTGAGGGATGCTCAGCTGTGCCTAGCCAGGGAGTGTGGTGGAGGAAGGGCTAACTAAAGGAGAATGTTCTAATTACTCCAGCAAATCCTTAGCTACCTAATCCCTTTCAGGCTCCTTAATTGCCCTGGAGGCTTTTATGGCAGGTACCTACACCAGCCAGCTGTTGTCTTAGCTGAAGAGCTGTTCTTCTGGCAGAATGCAGCATGGGTAAGAGTTTGGGTTCTGGAATCAGGCTGACTGGGTTTTGATACCCTGTCACTTCTGAGCTGAGTGACCTTGTTCCCTCTGACCCTCTATTTCCTCTTCTGTGAAGTGGTAAGAGTAATCAGACTCCTACGTGGGTCCCATCACATTCACTGAGATCTCGCATGTGGGGTTTTAGCACAGTGCCTGGCACATACTAAGTGCTGTTATTATTATTAGCTATTGTCATAATTAGCTTTATTCAGTTCTGGCTTTCAGTAGCATCGTGGTTGCTTTAGTTTAAGTTCTTCCTCAGCTGGGAATCGTTGCATGGCTGGTGGGCTGTTCCTCACAGAACAGCAGAGATGACTAGTTTGGTCTCTAGAGGTCTCTGAGCTTCCGCCCACAGCCGGCAGGGATAGCAGAAGGCATGGATCACAGCACGTGGCTGCAGGCCACAGATGGGGCCTCTCTTCTGCCTGGCACAACTGCTAAGGTCTCTGGCTTCCTCTTGCATCTGCCTCCTACTGCAGAGATGGCAGCTGCGGCTTGGGAGAGGGCAGGGTGGTCTAGGGTGGCGGCTTCCAATACCACCCACAGCAAAGAGAACAAGCAGGGACAGTGGAGTGCATTTGTCATAGACTCATAGGCAATTAAGAGGGCTGTCCCTCTTTTGAGATTATGTCCATCCTACTCTTTGGGTGATTGCAGATAGGAGGTTTATTTTTAGGGTTGTTCGGTTTTTTTTTTTTTTTTTTTTTGTATTAAAGGGTCAAAATAAAAAAGTTGGCAAGTAAAATTTTGGGGGAAAATTTTACCTGTCCAGGAAATCCAAAAGAGAAGCACTGATTCAGGAAGATGGAAGGTAGCTCAGACTATTCTTTGACCCTCAAGGGGGTCCCAGGCCACAGTTCCCTCCCCTCCAGCAAGCCCCAAACAATAGCGGCAGCCCCTTGCATTCAAAAAGCCCTCTCCAGAAAGGGGAACTGGGGACCTTTTAATTATTCATTGGTCCAGCTGACCTAGCAGCTGGGGCCTGGCTCCTGTTGGCCTCTGGAGCCACCTTCTTTATCCCCTTCAGTGCCTCGCCAAAGACCTGAGATCTCCAGGGAATTCAGGGCTTGCTGGGGCCAAGATTGCTGCACGATCCATTGTTTAAGTCACAGTTGCTACATGGCATCAGGTTTGGTCTGTCCTCATTAGCCATTCCTGCTTACCTGGTTCTTCACAAAGCTAGACCCTGGCAGCACTTTCTTTCACATCTCAGCAAGGCAGCTCTGTGTCACCCTGGCCCTCTGCTTCCACCAGGTGTAAAGAAGTTACCCTTCTACAGGTAACTTTTACTCTCGTACTCCCCAAGCTTAGGCAGAGATGAAAGAGAACACCTTTCTGGGCCATTGTTGTGTCACACAATGCCAGAGGGCCATTATTTACATAGACTGCAATGTGATTTATTCCTCCTGAAGCGAGGCAGCCTGGGGCACTGGCTGACATGTGTTCTGTTAGCCTCTCCCCTCCCTTCCCCAGTACACAGCTCTCAGGGCTCTTTGCTCCTCTGCAGAGTCTCAGCAATAGTACACCTGACTGTGCCTTGCTCTCCTCGCAGTCACAGCTTCTCATGCGGGCATCCACCCTGCTAGCTCCCCCCAGTGCCAGATTTCCTGAGGTTTCTCTTTATCTCGTTTGTATTCACTAAACACTGGCAGGATCTGGATCTGCTTCCTGGCAGGGACCCTCTTCCCAGGGTTACCTGGCTCCGAATATCTTCCGTGTCTTGTGTTCCCAGAGCCAGAGCTGTTCTGGCCCACTTCTGCAAGCCATACCCCAAAGGAGTACCTTCTAGCCACCCTCAAGGAACTTTGGTTTGGATAGACAGCCCTATCTGATGTCCTCAGGGAGTGACAGGTCCTTTGTGTGCTAATGCTATTTGTAAAGGCTGGACTTTGCTCTGCCCTGTGACACCACTCCTTCCTCAGTTCTTCTGTTGGGAAGGTGAGAGAGATGGGCTCTCAGACTCAGCTGGCCGCATAAATCATTGCATGCAGTCACACCTTTGACCCAGCAGTTCCACAAAGAGTCACTAGTAAGCTTGTTTATCAGTGTTTGTAGTTGTGAACTGTTGGAAGTAACCCAAATACTTAACAGTGAGGGATTTGCTAAATAAATTATGGTACATTGGTACGATGAAATATCAGTCACTTATTAAAGGATATCGTAAAGTTTTGTTTGCATGTTGATGTGGGATGAGGTTCATGGTAGACTGAGGAAAATGAGCAGGCTACAAGGCCCTATGATCCATTGTTTTTTAAAATTATAATTTATTTTATTTTATTTTTTAATTGTGCTTCAGGTGAAGGCTTACAGAACAAATAGTTTCTTGTGAAACAGTAGTACACATGTTGTTTTATGACATTGGTTAACAACCCCACAACATATCAACCCTCTAACATCTCAACCTTTTTTTTTTGGTGAAAATACACATAGCCAAAGATACAACATTTCAAAAATTTCTACGTGCACAGT